ATCCTAGGAACTGGGAATGAGGATTTGAAGCTCATCTCTAGGATTGTATATTTGAAATTGCATGCAAATGTCACTTGCTTCTGTCCTGCTGGGTTGGTGGATGTTGAGTTTTCTCTGAGAGCCCAAAGTGGCCTTGAATTGAAAGCAAACTTTCCACCAGGCTTCTAAACCCTGGGGGAGGTTCTTCTTGGTTTTCCATAGAGAGCCTTTGGGGGTTTTTGGGGGTTGCTTTTTGCAGCTTGTCAGGGGGGGTCACACATGCTGTGAAGTTCTGGGCTTGCTCTGACGCAGGCAGGGAAAGCACATGATCAAAAAAAAGGACTTTTGGGGTTGCAACAGGGCCAATGTGTTCCTGACATTTAAAGTGGCTCTTCTGCCTTCAGCGACCAAAAAAAAAAAAAAAGGGGTTGTTTGGGGCTTTTGTAAATCCTCCTCTGGTGGAATCTGTGGAAAAAGAGCAGGCTGGGTCTGCCCTGGTGGTCACTGCAGTGTGGTTGGACAGGTTGGGGTGTTTTGGATCAAGAGGGGTGTCTAGCTGAGGAGTTGTGCTGCTGATGTACAGAGGCTCAGCTTGGAGTGGAGGCACCTCTCTCTCATCTGGCTCTGAAGCTGCCAAAACAGTGGCAGCTGCTGTGAAACTTGGTGTCTGTCTGAGCTGGGTGCTCTGGGAATCTCCTTTGTGCTTTATTTCAGCAGCTGGTGCGTGGAGGGCACAGTGTGCTGGGTGCTGCCCTCCAGTTCTGCCTGCCTTGGAGCTGCTTGAGGGAAGCAAATGGGAAGGAAATGGGGATGGATCAATGGCCTTTGTGTTGAGCATGACCTTGAGGGCTCAGGGGATAAAGGACCCTGGTTATCTCTCTGCTTTTCATCCCCAAAGTGCTCAGAGGCTGTGGGGGTGGGGAGGTGGGGCTGTGAACTGAGCCTTTGTAGGTCTGTAATGGGGTTGGGATGTGGGGAAGGAGCTTTTGAGCCTGGGGCCAAGTGGCAGAAATACAGTTTCTCTTCTGCTGCCTTCTGTGCTGCACAAAGGCTCTTGGTGTCCAGCTGCTGGCCTGGATGGCCGGGGCACTTGGTGTGCCAGCTCCTCTTGGAGAGGAGGCATTGTCATCCCAGGGCTGGCTGGGCTTGGAATTTCACAGCCAGCTTTCATTGCCATCTAATGAGCTCTGCTCCCAGCCCAGCCTGCCAGGCTTTGAAGTCTCTGCCCATGGGACAGCTGGAGCTGGCATTGTCAGGCTGGGGCAGAGCTGTCCTTACCAGATGTGGCAGGAAGAGTTAACTGTGGGTCTCCAAACACCCAGGAGTGCCACTCACTCAGCACGTTGGGTGCTGTCTCCAGGACCTTGTTGTCAAGATGTGTTGGGGATCCAGATGCAGAATTTCACACCTCAGGCCTGTTTGTCAGCCTTTTGCTGGTTTTGTTCTGCTGTTCGTGTGGGATGCTGGTGGTGCTGTGGGTGCTGTCTCTGTTCCCACTCAGCTGGCTGCTGACATGGAGTTGGCAGTGACTGGGCATCACCTCCACGCCAGGCAAAACATCCCAGAAGGGCTGTGTGAGCACAAGGAATTGCTGACACTACATTGACAAAGTCCTCTTCAGCAGCTGGGATGGAGTGGCTGTGGGCATGGCTGGCTGTCAGGGAAGGGTTTGGGGAAGAACCACAGCATCCCCTGAGGCAGATGGAGCCTGGGGTTTGAGGGCCAGATCTTCATCTCCCTCTGAAATCAAGAGGTGGGATCCAGGCAGTACCTGCAGCCCAGGCAAACTAAGCAGGAGATGATTTATTGTAGCTGGGGCTAGATGTCCAACACCATCCAGCTGTTGGGTCTTCCACTGCAGTGCTGTGGTGCTGTGCCCTGCTGCAGAAATGGGGTCAGCCCCACTCCTGAGACCCCCTGTGTCCCAGCTCTTGGTTCACCCTCGTGCAGAGCCCAGTGTGGCACCGGGTGGAGGAGGAACCATCCACCTCCTCTGTGGGACATCACCTGGGAAGCAGAAAGGCTGGCAGCCTACAAGGTGCAGAACTGGTTCTTGGCTGAGTAACCTTGGCCAAGGAGCATCCATCCATCCCTTCTCCTGCTGTGGGAGTGTGGCCAACAGGGGTGGATCCAGGTGGGAGCTGCTGGCCAAGAGGCACCCGGGCTCTGAAGCCCAGGGCTGGCTTTCCATCCTCTCATCCCTACACTCTGCCTTGCCTTCCTTCCTCAGAAGGAACGACGAGGTGACACACATCAAGATCCAGAACACAGGGGACTACTACGACCTGTATGGAGGGGAGAAGTTTGCCACCCTGGCAGAGCTGGTGCAGTACTACACCGAGCAGCACGGGCTGCTGCGGGAGAGGAACAGCAACGTCATCGAGCTCAAGTACCCTCTGAACTGCCAGGACCCCACCTCGGAGAGGTGAGCCACACTCCCTCACAGCTCTCCTGCTGCCTGGGGATGCTGTCTTCTCAGGTAGCTCAGGCCCTACAGCTGCTCCTGGGCTGGGTTTGGGAAGGAGCCCGGCACGGAGTGTCTGGGTGTGATGTAGCTTGAGCTGCACAGTTGGACTTGATGATCCTCAAAGTCTTTGCCAACCAAAGTGATTCTATGGTTTTTGTGTCTGGGATAAGGTTCCCTCAGTGCTCTGTGTGCAGCCATGGCCAGAAGCTGGTGAGGTGCATCAGCAGGGCCCAGAAGCTGATACTTGCTCAGTGTCAGCTTGTGCTAACAAGGTTTCTTCCAGCTTTTAGGCAACTGGGAGTGAAGAATCATGGAATAGTTTGAGTTGGAAGGGACCTTATAGGCCATCTAGTCCCATCCCCCTGCAGTGAGCAGGGACATCTTCAACTCCAGCAAGTTTCTCAGAGCCCTGTCCAACATGAGCAGTGTGAGTCCTTCCCAAAGGGTCCTGCAGGTGAATCCTGGCTTTGGTCTTAAAAGCCATAAAACACCTGGAGGTGACTCTGCCTGCAGAACCGCGGGTAGAGCTGCCCTGAAAGAAGTCTTCTCCCACCCCATCCCAGTCCATGACCTCTGTTCATCCCAGTTGCAAGGGTGGGGATGGCTGACACACTGGGAGGAGCTGCTTGCCCTGGGCTGCTTCAGGATGTTTCCACAACCAGTTAGTGACTTGCTTTCCTCCCCTTTCTTTGTGACACTCCAGTGACCCCCTTTTTCCTGTTCCTCCCCCCTCCTGTTTCCCCAGGGTCAGATGCAGCAGCTGCCACGGGGGGAGCAAAGGGGGAGGCTTTGCCAGGCAATGCCCAAGCAGGTCCCTCATTCACTTGGGAGGGTCATATGAAGCTGTGACTGGTCTCAGTTCCTGAAATGGAGCAGAGACTCTCCCCTCGTGAGCCAGCTGGGAAGTCCCTCCAGCCCATGTGCTCTCTTGCTGCCAGGGAGGTTTCTTTGCTCGTTCCAGGGCTCAGGGTGAAGCAGAAGCTCTGGGAACATGGAAAGCCCCTTCAGCTGGGTTTCCCCCTCCTGTCCTGCCAAGGAAAGCCTGGCTTGGCAAGGAGGCTCCATAAAGGTCTCAGCTCCAGACCACACATCTGGTGGGATCAGGGAGAAGGGAGGAAAAAGGGTCCCAGCCCTCTCATTCCGTGACACACTGATGGGGGCAGAAGGCAGCAGGATGTGTCGGTGTTTGCAGGGTCTGGGCCTGAAGATCCTGCTGAGCTGGGGCTCAGCATCACCCTCTGCTCTTCTGTAAACTTTGTCCTCCAGGCCCACGTTGCTGAGAGGTGACGTGAGGCTGTTGCAGTGCCCTGCAGGGTTATTCTGAGCCTCTCTGGGTCCCTGGCAGGCCAGGAGCCAGCACCAACTTCCAACTGGGACCTGTGGCCTCTGCCCAGAGCCACTGAGCCACATCAAGCCACTGAGGCTTGATGGAGGGTGGGGATTTGAAGGCTCTGAGGCAAAAAAAACCCCAACTCTGCTTCCCTCCAGGCTGCTCCTTGTCTCTGTGGAGGGCAGGAGCAGGGTGCTGTGCCCCAGGTGGCTGCTCTGAGAGGTGTTTGCTGAGCTGGTGTGTCCCAAAGCCAGGTGAGCTCCAGCCACAGCACCCAGCACTCAGAGGCTGTGGTTGGGCAGGTTGTTGGGTGCTTGAACCCAAGGTCTGGTGGCAAGGTTGCTACAGGCTTCTGGCCAGGTGGGTTCAGAGAGAACCTGCGTTTCCCTGGGGCTGCAGAGCCAGAGAAAGGGTTGAGAGAGGTGAGGTGGAGAAGCAGGGGCAGGTGCACTCAAGGTGTGCACAGAGAGAGAGCTGGGGCATCTCGTGGCCACCCAGCAGGGCTTGGGAAGAGCTGAACACACATGGTGGTGGTCACTGCCCAGGGACGTGGCTGTGAGCAGGGCTGAGGAGGGAGAAGCCCCCTGGGCACCTGGTTTTGCCCCTCCAGGTGCAGCTGCTTCTATTCTCCCCCAGCCAGATCTGAGTGAGGGTTTGAGAGCTGGGAGGACCTTTCTGAAAATTCTCTGTGTCAAAGCACCTTGTTCCTGGCCAGGGCTGCCCACGCTCATGGCTGGTGCTGTCTGACTGCAGCCTGCTGCCTCCAACAGGCTTTTCCCTTAAGTGTGAAAAGGTAAAGGACAACACAGCTATCTTCAAGTAAGAGTAGTGTCTCTCACAGCTTCCTCAGAGCCCTGGCAGCTCTTGTCACCCCTCACGTGGCAGCTCCATGCTCTGGTGCCATTTCCCATGTGGCTGGAGGGCTGAGCCAAGTCCTGACGCCGCCAACCTCGGGACAGGGTATTGATGTGACATTGCCAAGGGCTGGAGGAAAGTCACTGGGGCCTGTTGCTAAAATAACTCAAGCTGGTGTCAGGCCAGCGGGTGAAGAAGTTGGGTTGGGAGCCTGGAAATGGGTTTCCCATGAAGACCATCCCAGTGTAGCTCGTGTCCCAGGGCAGCGCCGTGTGTGTTTCTGAGCTAACCTTGCTCTCCTCCTGCTCCCCCAAGGTGGTACCATGGGCACCTCACTGGCAAGGAGGCAGAGAAGCTCCTGACAGAGAAGGGGAAGCCAGGGAGCTTCCTGGTGAGGGAGAGCCAGAGCAAACCAGGAGACTTTGTCTTGTCAGTGCTGACCAACGAGGATAAGATGGAGACTGGGGATCGGAAACCGCACGTGACCCACGTGATGATCCATTACCAGGTGGGGAAGGGACCATCCCTGCTCCCCCTGCCCTGGGTGCTGGGTGGGGGGCCCAGCTGGGTGCCCTGTGTTCAGGTCTCACCGTGGGTTTTGTCACCTTGTCCCCCCAGCCCGACGGGAAGTACGACGTGGGGGGGGGAGAGAGGTTTGACACCCTCACAGACCTGGTGGAGCACTATAAGAAAAACCCCATGGTGGAGAAATCTGGAGCTGTGGTTCATCTGAAGCAGGTGAGAGCTGCTTGGGCACGTGTGTTTTGGTTCTGTGCACAGATCTGCCTCTGCTCTTGGAGAGCTCTGTGGCTCCAAAACAACCCCCTGGCTACTTGGCATGCTTGCTCAGGGTCACGCTTGCCACTCCCTGGCCCCACAATCAAGGCCTCAGGAATGAACCCAACTCCTGGCAGTGCCCTTAGGGATTTGGGGACTGTTTATTCAAGGAGAACGTTCTCTGTCTTTCTGTCCCTGAAAGTGATTTCTGTTCCATCTGTCTTGCAGCCCTTCAATGCCACGCGCATCAACGCAGCCAACATTGAGAACAGGGTGAAGGAGCTGAACAAAATGGCAGATCACAGTGAGAAGGCCAAGCAAGGGTTCTGGGAAGAGTTTGAGGTACAGGATGCTCCTGTGCTCTGTCCTGCTTGTAACTGTGGGTGAAAAGACTCATATTTGCATGGGAGTGTTGTGATTTCCCAGCTCCAGGGACGTCTTCTTAACACTCTTGCTTCTTTCCTTGTTTCTGGTGTTCAACTGAGCTGCTTCCTGGTCCTTTTTCTCATTGCTTTTCCTCATGTCTGAGGCAGTTTCTCCTTCCTCATCCTAGAACTGCCTACCTCTTGTTCCCTGCAGGGATTTCTGCCTCCTCCCCCATTAACTCTCTCCTCAAGCTGCTTCTTGGCTCCCTTTCCCTTCCTGCCGGCGCTCCCTCTGCTCTTCTCAGCAGTAGGAAGCCAAGGGGCTTGTCAAAAGAGCCCTTCCTTTGCCTCCAACTCTCCTTATCTGCCCAGAACAGTTTGTTCTTGTGTTCTCTGCTCCACAGATGTTGCAGCAGCAGGAGTGCAAGCTCCTCTACCCCAGGAAGGAGGGACAACGTCCAGAGAATAAGGCAAAGAATCGCTACAAGAACATCCTCCCCTGTAAGGAGACACTGAACACTGGCTTGGTTTTGTTATCTCCACCACCATTTCTGCAGCCTTCCCTGGGGCCAGTTAACCCTGCAGAGCCTTCTGATCCTAGCCACGCTGGGCAGAGGTCTGCAGGGAAGTGGTCCAGCTAGTTCATGGCCTTCTCCATCCCCTTTCTAACCTGGTTCTTCCCTTCTGCGTGGGAAACAAGTGGGAAATCCTCTTTGTGCTGTGAGTCCCAATCTGGTGCAGATCCCAAGTGTAGCTCAGAAGCCATGGGGAGCCAGAGCCTCCCAAGGGAACTTGAGCTGAGGAGAGCCTGCAACACTCCCTGCCACGGCTAGCCATCTGTGTTGCTAGCAATCTGTGTTGCTAGCCTGGCCACACAGCTGTGGGACAGGTAGTGTGGGCTGCTGCTGCCACGAGGGGAGCATTTTACAGCACCTTCAGCAGCAGCTGCCTGGGTGGCTTCATAGCAAGGGCCTCCTGGCAGCCCCTGTGCCCTGCAGTGGAGCCCACCCGTGCTCCTGAGTGGCTCCTCTCTTCATTCTGGGCTGTCTTCTCCCTCCCAGTTGATACCACCCGGGTGGCACTCCGGGACGTGGACCAGAGCGTGCCTGGCTCAGACTACATCAATGCCAACTATATCAAGGTACTTGGGAGAGGGGGAAGGTGCCACGTGGGGGCTGTTCCCACCCTGCTGCTTTGCTCCTGCTGGGTGGGTGGGTGGGCTGGTTTAAGTCTTTGAGGGAATGACCTGTCAGGACCAATATCTTTCACTGGCTCCAGGCCAAACACTGCATTTTTCTACTGTATCCCAAAAGATCTCCTCATTCTATCACGTCCTGTTTGCCCCTATCTAAGGGTTTATCTCAATCCCAACCTCTCCTTCCCTGCTCAGGAGGTCCTAGGGGACTGACTCAGAGTCTCTATCATTGACCATTATCTCAGAGGTGAAATCATAGCTGTCATATGTAGCCTGAGAGCTGCTTGAAGCTGTATTTCCAGCAGTGCTGCTCTGGCACTTAAGCACCAGCCTTTGAGAAACCTTCAAGGTGGCTTCATTCCAGCCATGTCCACCTGCAGCTTGTGCAGCTGCCTGCTGGCAGGAGGCTGTGGGGCAGTAATGTGCCTTGCAGCAGCATGAAGGTCCCTGGAGGCAGCCAGACCATTTTGCTGGCGACATTTGGAGCTCATGGTGAGAGAGATTCATGTCCATGGGTCTGAGGAATGAAGCAAAATCAGCTCAGAAACCCAGCAGGGCAAGGTCTGCCAACTTGATGATCTTCAGGGCCTTTTCCAGCCAGAATTATTCCATGATTCTATGACTTTGCTGCTAAAGGTGCCCTAAAGCAACTCTCAGTTCCTTACTCCAGTCTCACTGGCTTTTTTTCCCCCCTCAGAGCATCCCAGAAGATGGAAGGAACTCAGAGCACTGCAAGGTCTACATTGCCACCCAGGGCTGCCTGCAGACCACGGTGAATGACTTCTGGGCCATGGTTTATCAGGAGAACAGCCATGTCATTGTCATGACAACCAAGGAGGTGGAGCGGGGCAGGGTGAGCACCTGTAGGAGCTGCCCCCACACCTGAAGGTTACCTGCTGTGCTGCTGGCTGTGTTTAGTGACATGGTCTCTGCTCAGGTGTCATTGCTCCTCTGCCTTCTCATGTTGCTTCATCTCACCTTGATGGAAGAAACGTTCTGCTTTGCTCTGCCCCACCAGTGCCCCCAGCCCCACCAGTGCCCCCAGCCCCACCAATACTGGGGGGGTGTCCCTCCTGTGACTCAGTTCAGGGCTCTGTGGGATGGCAGGTGACAGAGAAACAGCGTGTGTGTCACAGCCAAGCTGGAAAGTGCTGGGGGGAGGCACTGCAAGCTGAGTGTGAGAGGGACAGCAGTGATTCTGCAGCCTGTCTGGGTCCCACCTGTCCCCCTTGTACTGGGAGTCAGTGGGGAGGAGCCCAGGAACAGGGTGGAATACCTGCCCTAGGAAAAAGAGGTGCTAATGATGGTTGGCACCAGGAGTTGGGCTGAAGGGGGGAGGCTGGTGCAGCAGTGGAGTGGGCAGCTCTGCTCTCCAGCTGCCTTCTGTGTTGAGGGCAGGAGGGTGCAGGCAGGCTGGGCAGCTCCTGGGGATGGAGACTGGGCTGGAGAGTGAGGCAGTGAGCAGAGCACCAAGCTCAAGTGCTGCAGGTCAAGACCGTGCCTTTGGCAAGGTGTGTCTGGCTGAGGAGGGAGGTTCCCCAAGGGATCCCATCCCTGGAATGGGAATGACCCTTCCTGGTAGATCCCCAGTCTGGAGTGGGAATGACCCTTCCTGGTAGATCCCCGGTCAGACGGGAACTCTCCGTGTCTTCCCACCTCTTCCCACCCCCATGCGGGGCCGGGAACCATCACAGCACCCCCGGGCAAGGGGTGAGGGGCTTTCACCTCCACTCAGGAGCCCCCCGGGGGTGTCCCTGCAGAACAAATGCTTCAGGTACTGGCCGGACAAGGGCTGCAGCCGGGAGTACGGCGGGATCCGCGTGCGGAACGGCGGGGAGCGTGAGGCCCAGGGCTACTACCTGCGGGAGCTGGAGGTGCTGCGGGCTGGGCAGGTGAGCTGGGGGGTCCTGGGCTGGGCTCCTCTGGCTCTGGGGGTCATGCTCAGCTTTGGCTGCAGCTGTTTCCTGGGTCATACTCTGGTTTATGTGTCGTTCTCCATTTGATACGGAACGATGCGCTTAATTGGTGGTATCTGATGTCAAAGCTGGGGCCAAGAACTGAAGCAGTGGGGCCTTTATATATATATAAAAAAGAAGTTTATTATAACTTGTATATATCTATAAAATTAGCTTCTATATAAATATAAAGCATTCATGGTATTTTTGTATATATATGTATATATACACACACACACACCTGGTCTAGGTGGGTGATGTCCCTGCTCTCACAGCAGGGAGGTTGGAACCTCAGGCTCTTCCAGTTCCCTTCCAATTTCCACCATTCTGTGATTCTGTGTAAAATTAACTTAATTTACAAATACATATAATTAACTTAATGTGGCCCAGTGGGCCTATTATACACACATATATATGTATATAAAGTTAATATAACTTTTATGTATATATTTAACCTATATATAGAATTGACTTAGAATAACTTCTATATCTATATACACTTAACCTGGGTGTATGGATATAAAGTTAATATAACTTTCTGTATTTTTTTAACCTATATATAGAATTCACCTAAAATAACTTCTATAGGTATACACACTTAACCTGGATAGATGTTTATAAAGTTAATATGATTTATATTTATATTTAACCTATATATAGAATTGATTTAAAATAACTTCTATATGTATATACAATTAACCTGGATGTATGTTTATAAAATGAATGTTTTTTAATATATTTTAATCTATATATAGAATTGATTTAAAATAACTTTTCTATGTATATACACTTAACCTGTATATATGTTTATAAAGTTAATATAGCTTTTATATTTTTTTAACTTATATCTAGAATTTGTTTAAAATAACTTTATGTATATGCACTTTATATATATAGAATTGATCTTTACATATATAGAATTGATCAGCTTATATATAATATATATACTAAACAGTTATGTATCTATAATTAACTTACATTACAAATATAGATACAGAATTAACTGAGTGGCCCCCACGGCTGAAGTTCTGGGCCCCTTTGCCCCGGGTTTGGTCAAAGTCAGGGAAGGTGAAGGTTCGTGGCAGGGTGTTGCTGAGGGTGCTGGCTCTGTGCTCCCTGCAGGACGAGCAGCCAAGGCTGGTGAAGCACTACCAGTACTTCAGCTGGCCCGACCACGGGGTGCCCAACGAGCCCGGGGGGGTTCTCAGCTTTCTGGACCAAGTGAATCGGGCTCAGCGGAGCATCCCAGGCACGGGGCCCATCGTGGTGCACTGCAGGTAGGAGCTGCTGGCACAGGGGACATGCCTCCACCCCCCAGCCCTGCAGTGGGAATGGGTGGTAAAAACCTGGGGCTCTTTGTTCCTTCCACTTGTGAGCTGCTGGTGGGCGAGGAGGGGGTGAGGATCCAGGTGGGGAAATGCAGCTCCAGGGATGAGCAGGCCTGGTGGGGAGCTGGTAGCTCTGCTGCAGCCTGGGAGGTTCTCATCTCCTCAAGGTCAGCATTTCATAGAACACTTGCAGGGCTGGAGCCTCCACAACTTCCTTGGGCAACCTGTTCCAGTGTCTCACCACCCTCAGAGAGAAGAATTCCCTCCTGATGTCTAAGGGCAAGGAGGGGCATGTCCTTGGCTGACAGCAGTCATCCCAAACTTGCCCAGGATGGGCCAGGCTGGCAGATGAGAGGTGGAGCTGGGCTGGCCAACTCTGTTTCCTCCTGCACTTACTTGTTTTTTTTCTAATTTTTCCCTTTCCAGTGCTGGAATAGGACGCACAGGAACCATCATAGTGATAGACATCCTGGTGGATATTATCCACAGGCAAGGTATGTCTCACTGTCTGCCTGGTGGCTTTCACCTCTGACCACTGGTGGGATAACCCTGCTCTTGTGCAAGTGGTGGGGACGTGCTCCTCAAGCAGTGGGTTTGGCTGGTCCATGGAAGCAGTGGGCACAGGCTCAGCCTGGATGCAGGGGGAGAAGGGCTTTTGTGCTCTGCCCAGTTCCCTCTTTCTCTGTGGGCCAAGAAGTGGAGCTTTATCATCACAAAATGTGAACCCTCCCCAAACTGGAGTGCACCTGGACAGGCCCCTAGTAAGGGACAGGTTTTCAGCAGCACAGCAGAGTCTTCTCCTTGGAGCCAGGATTTTAAGGTCTCCTGGACAACCTGCTTTTATTGAGGGTGGGGTGAAACAGGTTCAGTAAGGGTGCCACTCCAGTAGCCCTTCTGGAAAGAAGTCCCCCAGACTCTTCTGTGTAGAAGGGCTGTGACCCTTACCTGAAATTGCAGAGTTCTGTGGCTGTCTCTGGGTCTGCTCTAGACCCTCTTCAGCAATGATTGCATCTGTCTCCTAAACCAGGCAAGGGTGGTAAGTCTGGATCTGCAGGAAGTGGCTACAGAACAGACCTAGTCCCCCCTTCCCTTGCTCCTCCCTCAGCCATTTCCAGGCAAAGGAAATTAAAGAAATAACAACATTTCAAAACACATTTCAAAACCTCCTGTGCACAGAGATGCACCAGATCCTTTCACAGCATCCCAGGGCTTTGCTGCCACTGTGTTCAGCCAGAGCCTGAAAACTTTGGACGTCGTCTTGATAAAAGAATTTTTCAACTGATTTTTTTTTTCCCCCCCCCTCCCTAAACCTCTGGCTCTGGAGCAGGTCTGGACTGTGACATTGACATCCCCAAGACCATCCAGATGGTGCGGAGGCAGCGCTCGGGCATGGTGCAGACAGAGGCTCAGTACAAGTTTGTCTACATGGCTGTTCAGCAGTACATCGAGGCTGAGCAGAAGAGGCTGGAGGAAGAGCAGGTGGGTCCCCTTGGGCTTGGCTGGAAAAGCAAGGGGCAGAACAGGAGGGTGACCATGAGCCAGCAGTGTGTGCTGGTGGCCAAGAAGGCCTCCTGGGGTGGGTTAGAAAGGGGGTGGTTAGTAGGTCAAGGGAGGTTCTTCTCCCACTCTGTTCTGCATTGATGAGGCCGCATCTGGGATATTGTGTCCAGTTCTGGGCCCCTCAGTTCAGGAAGGACAGGGAACTGCTTGAAAGAGCCCAGGGCAGAGCCACAGAGATGCTGGAGGGAGGGGAACATCTCCCTGCTGAGGAAAGGCTGAGGGAGCTGGGTCTCTTTAGCTTGGAGAAAAGGAGACTGAGGGGCCACCTCATCCATGGGCACAAATCTGTTCAGGGCAGTGTCAGGAGGACAGAGCCAGGCTTTGTGCAGTGATGTCCAGTGACAGGACAAGGGGCAATGGGTGCAAACTGGAGCACAGGAGGCTCCATGTAAACATCAGGAAGAACTTCTTTGCTGTGAGAGTGACAGAGCCCTGAGACAGGCTGCCCAGAGAGGCTGTGGAGTCTCCTTCTCTGGAGACATTCAAACCCACCTGGATCCTGTGTGATGTGCTCTGGGTGCCCCTGCTCTGGGAGGGGGGTTGGCCTGGGGGATCTTCCCAGCTCCCTTCCAACCCCTGGGATGCTGTGATGCTGTGAACTTCCACCTTCTCCCTGGAGCTCCACTGCTGCTGTGAATGCATGGGAATAAACCCATGGCCACTGCTCTCTGCTGGCAGCCAGGATCTTGCAAGGCTTTCTGGTGTGTCTGCTTCGAGTGGGGGTTGATTGTCCCTGCTTTCTCTTTCAGAGGAGTAAAAGGAAGGAGCGAGACTACCTGAATATTGGTTACCCCCCCATGGAAAAAGGCAGAGCCAAAGGGCAGCCCCCCTCACCACGGGCCCAGTCTGTGTAAGTTCAATGTCCCTCTGCAGGGCTAAGAACTTGTGTCACAGCAGAAAGAGCACCTTGAGCAGAGGTCCCAGTGTTTATCCCTGGCCAGCCTGCCCCATTCCTGAAACCAGTTCCTGGCTGTCCTGTGGAAAGGGCTAAAAATGAGCAGGGGATCCCACCCCACTGTCAGCAGTGGTGGCAGCAGCTCACCCTGCTTGTGTGCTACCCCAGCCCCCCTGGAAGTGTTCAAGGCCAGGTTGGATGGGGCTTGGAGCAACCTGGTCTGGTGGGAGGTTGAAGCTGAATTTGAATGTAGGAGGGACAGCCCAGCCAGAGGGAGACAAAACAGAGTGGAGAACAAGGGATGATAAACCCAGTCTGCAAGGCTGGGGAGGGAAAAAGGAAGCTTGGCTGGACCATTGCCTGCTTCCCACCAGCCTCTGGGAAGAGATCCTGAGCAGTGAGGCTGTTCATAACCAGGCTTCATTTCTTGGCAGGGCTGAGGATGAGTCAGCTTCCCTCTACGAGAACCTGAACATCAAAAGCCCAAAGGTTTCAGGGATGAGTAACACGGGGCGATAAAGGATGCGGGGGTGAAGCTGTGTGTGCAGGTAGGAATGCTCCCCTGGATCATCCCAGAGTGTCACCACGCTCTGTTTACATCAGCTTTGCTTCAGCTGGGGGCTGGGTGGCTCTGGCTGTGCCAGGGGGGGCAGCTGGGGCTGTTTGATGGAGCTGAAGAAACGTGGCTGTGTCCTGCTGGGGGCAGAGCAGGGGGCAGAAGGTCTCAGCAGGAAAACACCTTTATAATGTGACCACCAGGACAGGGGTGGGGGGAGATTGACCTTTTGGGCTGGTTGTCAGGAAGTTCTGAGGCTCAGAGAGGAGCTGCTCTGTGTGCAGAGACACTGGGAGGGGAGTCTCAGCTCTGTCACCTCATCCCTGCCCTTTTCTCCCCGTTACAAGCCAAGCCACCCCTCTTCTTTTGGAATGCAGGTGTTACAGTGTTGATGTCCACCCTTCCCACATCCTACAAGTGTGGACAATGTTTTTTTTGCCCATCTTGCCTTCCCCAAGCACCTTGGATTCAGAGAGGAACCAGAAGCTGGCCATGAGAAGCAAGCAGAGTCTGTGCCTTAAGAACACGCCTCGACCTAACTTCTGCATGAGAAGGATCTTCTGTTCTCCCCTGTGTTGATATTTATGTGGAAGTGCCTCTGGACATTCATTAGGGCTTCATGGCTCAGTTCTAATTTTCTTCTTCCTTGTTTTTTTAATTTAAGATTCTGTTTTTTACACACAACCTGTTCCAAGGAGCAGCCATGACTGCCTGCTTAGGAGCTTTCCCAGGGTTGTCCACTTAGGGCATTAGGAAAAGGTTAGTACACTTGAATGTTTTCATTAGGTCAGTCATTTCTAAACTAGAAGTGTTTTTAGCCTAAATCCTGGAGTCACCTTGCTGCCTGTGAGGGTGAGAAATAGAGAGCACTGCCTGGACTTGGGTATCTGCTCCTCTGTTGATTCTCCTTCCCACACTGCCCTTTGGCTGTGCCAGTTCTAGATGTCTATGCAACCCTGCTGGGGCACCCAGAGCATCCCCTGCTGCTGGGGCACCCAGAGCATCCCCTGCTGCTGGGGCACCCAGAGCAGCCCCTGCTGCTGGAGCACAGCGTGGGGGTGTGTGCCTGGGGCTGCCTGCTGCTCTGCTCCAGGCTTTCCCAGCAGGATGGAGACAGAGGTGCCAGCATCTCTGTCTTTGTGTGGGTCTGGATGTTGAGCTCAGGGAAATCCCACCCAGCTACGGGTGCTGGAGAGCAGGAAAGCAGCTTTGTGTGCTGTGCTTTTTTAGCCACCTCCAGTGAGTACCAGCCTGGGGTGCTCATCTGAGCTGAACCTGCTGGGCTGGGCCCCTCTAAGCTTGATGCAGCTCTGCCATTACCTTGCTGCATGACCTCTTGTATTTGGGTTCTCCCCCCCCCTGCAACTATATGACAAGGCAAGTGTTGTTTCTGCTGAGTAGGAGTGTTTGTAGGAGTTTGTGACTTGCCCAGCACCACAAAGATGAGCATGTCACTGAGTGGAGCCTTCCAGCTCTGTTGATAAGTCCTGACTTGTCCCTGCCAGTGCTTCCCACTGTGCCAGCCCTGGGAGCAGTCCTGCCAGAGCCCTCTTCCTGCAGGACCACCGGGGTCTGGAGGTGGGCTCTGGGGCTGAGTGCCAGTGCCTGAACCTCCAGAGCCACCTGGGGTCAATGTGGGGGTCCTTCCTGGGTCTGTGGGATGGGTTGGACTTGCTGCATGGTTGGGGTGGTGGTGCCTGGGGTGTTGGCTCCAAGTGTTGAGCTGCAAGGTTTGAACAAAAGCACAACGACGTGCCTTGGCTGTGTTTCCTGGCTGGTCTTTCTGGCCCCTTGTTGCAGGGACAGGAGAACTGTTTATTTTTATTGCACTTTGAATAAATGTTGACTATTCTCAAGGCTTTTTTTTTTTTTTGGGGGTTTTTTTTTTTTTTTCCTTCTTCCTTTCTTTCCTGTGTCCTGTATATTGCAGGGACACCTGCCTCAGTGTTTGACAGGGAGAAGACTGTAATGCAAGTGACCAAAATAAAGTGCATGGCAATGGAGTTGGTAAGAAAAATGTCTCTGTTGCCCTGACTTTGCTTCTCCCAGGTGTCTGCTCACTTTAGCATTACCTAGGAAACAAGAAAAGGAAGCAAGTCTTTACCTTTTACCTGAAGTATGCTCTGTTAGATTATCTTCAGCTCTTACCAGAAGGTCCTGTCAGACAGTCACAAAATGTGTTCTATTAAGGATCACTGCACACTGAGAATTCACCAGTTCGCTGACCTTCACATCGCTGCTGCTTTAGAAGCAGCTGTACTTCCATGCTTCTCCTCATCGATCTAACATGCAGGTTTCTGCTCCGAGGGAACTGCTCCTCATGTTTTACATCTCTTGAACTTTGCGAGTACTTCCCAGAAGACTGGGAGCTCTCAGCTGCACTGAGAAGGCTCTTGGTGGTTGTTTTTTTTTTCCTTCTTCCTTTCTTTCCTGTGAAGTAGTTTGCTTTTGGGGAACATGGCTGAGAGCTGGTGGCCAGCAGGGCACCCTGAGTGTCTCCCACCACCAAATGCTGCTGCTCAGGGCCTGGTTGTCACTCACTTTGAATCTTCCTTTTGACTACATATGAGAGGGAGGTTCAGCTGCACGTTAGCTCAACTTTCCACCTTCATTTCCAAGCCCAGGATGAGAAGGGGAGGTGCAGAGGGACAAACCCCACCAGGAGACTACTAATTGGAGCTGTGAGAACACCTCTCAGGCCCCTGTCCCACCACAAGAGATTTTAGGAGGCTGAAGATGTTACTTCCTTCTCCCCTGCTCTTAGGTCCTATCAGTGGGAGATAAATGGTAAGAAAGATGCCATGACAAAGCACTTCATCCTTGCTGGGCTCAGTCCCAAATGTCCCATGGGCAGCATGGAAGTGCTTTCTCTGCCTTTAGCCTTGGTGAGTCACTTCTTCCAAGAACACACTTCAATGAGTGTGGGGGGGAGATCCTTTTAGCAGCAGCCAGGGGGGAAAAGGCTGGAATGGTACAAGTGAGAATCCCTGTCAAGCCTGAGGAGCTTGGCAGAAGCTGTGGCAGTGCCTGGAGTAGCTGCTGCAGACATGTGGCTGGCCCAGATAACAGCAGCCTGCAGCTGAGCACCAAAGGGGATGGAGATACAGCACCTTTCCACACAAGTTTTCCATAGCAACAGGCTCCAGCTCCTTCTGTTGCTTCAGCCTTTTCTGTCTCGAATTAGATTTCCTGGAAAGGGAAACTGGAAGTGTCTTTTCATCCAGCTGGGAAGAAGTCAGAGATGAGCAGCCTTTGCAGCTCCACATTTTTCAGGTTCAGGCAGGTGTGTGCAGTGGGAATTGGCACCTGGGACAGCACTGCCAGTGTGAATGGGCAGGAGAAAGTTCTCCATGTGTGCAGGATTGTGCAACACAGGCTTCATCCCCAGGATCTGGGAATGCTGCTGGGCTCAGAAGTGAGCACCTCCAACTGCAAGTAAGGAGGGGAATGGGGAAAAATTGCTACAAAATTACACCTTGCATTGTACAAAACATAATTTAATACATACACGTCTGGTACTTGCATACAAGACTGTCTTACATCCACATGTTTGAATAGAAAACACTTAATTATAAGCTGCCTTCATCACGAAGACTGGTGTGAATCACTGTCAGAAGAAGATCACTGCATTAAATAAAAATATAATGTAAGCAACTGGCCTGGGTCTTCCTGACACATTTTTAAGATGAGGAGGGTAAAACTGTCAAAAGGTGGAACTCGTGTCGTTCAGGCAAAGAGTTTCCCTGTGACAAGTACAAATGAAGGTCACTGATGAAGTCCCTGGAGGGGCCAGGGTGTCCTGCTGGGTCAGTGTGCTCACCCCTCTGGTGAAAATCGCTTTCCAGGTAGAGAGGAGTGATTGATTTGGGTTTTTAAAGCATCCTTTTAAGACAGAAGAGGAGGATGGGCGCAGAGCTCTGTGCAAACCTCAGCAGACCCATGTTTTGCCGGCAGGCGGCAGCGTTTGCACCTCCAGCCCTGGAATGGGGTTTGTTTTCATCTGATTTTACTGATTCCACGTGTTTTTTTTACCCTCCCCATCCCAGCTCCTCGTAGGAATAATCATGTCGATCCTTCAGTTTGCAAAAAGAAATAGCCCTTTATTCCCTGAGGGTGTTAGAGGAGCTATGTTCCCTGTCATCTCCAGCCAAGACAGCCCCGAGGTCTTTGCTTCCAAAGCCTGGTTTCCAGGGAGAGCTGGGCAGCAGGGATGCCTGGAGCTGCCTGGAGCTGCTGGGCTGGAGGCAGCTCGTTTGGGCAGAGCTTCTGGAGGTGCCTGGGGGGGCTGGAGCACAAGCACAGCCCCAGGGTGGGGAGGAGGAGGAGGCTGGGGGTCTGCCAGCAGCCCTGGGAATGGTGGAAGGGAAGGGGCTGCTCCTGCCTCAGCCTTGGGAATTCCAAAGGGAAGGGGCTGCTCCTGCCTCAGCCCCAGGAAT